GTTTAACAACGCCTCGGCCTCAGTTAAGCTGTGTGTGTGTGTGTGTGTGTGTGTGTGTGTGTGTGTGAGCCTGTTTCCCGGCAATCAGCAGTTTATTTCTTTGCTTCGGTGACATTTTTCTCTGCAGATAACAAGGAAAGTGGAAATGGGTCTTTTCTCAGCAGCCTCCACTACGCTCATCCCATCTTATAACTGTCAGGTTGTGTTGCGTTTTTTAGTCTCTTTGCTCTCTTGATTTATTTGTTGGCGCTGACCTATTTCAGGCTGTTTAGCAGTTGACGCTCTAATGCAACAGCTCCAAGAGGATCGCAGTGCAGAAAACAATCCTCCGAAACACCACAATCCTCCCGCAGGACCTGATTGGATCTATATGCAACTGCTTAAATAGTGTTCACATGGAGTATCCCAAATGACACCTAAATCAGTAACTGTGAATGTCCAACACATGATGTGGTTTCATCAATATCTCCTATTGCAGTGTGAAAATGCTTCATACGAAAAGCTTTCAATGCAGAGGATGTTTAAAGAGGCCCTATTGTGCTTTTGGGGTTTTACCCTTCCTGTAGTGTGTTATATACGTTTGTGTGCATTTAAATGGTCTGAAGATGACATCATTGCCAAATAAGGAATGACCTCTTCCCTCCATGACTCCAATGTTAGCATTTGAGATCAGATGAACATATGGTGCAGTGTTTCCCACAGAATTTGATTCTATTTTTGGGGGCACCGAAGTAACCGAGGGCTAAGTGCCTTACTCAAGGGCACACTAGTAGTGGTGTTCCAGGCAGGATTTGAACTCGCAACCTTCCGATCATCAGTCCACCTCACTATCCATTAGACTACAAAAAAAAAAAAAAATTATTATAATTTTTTTTTTTTTTTTTTATGAGATCCATTTGTGGCGTACGATATTTAATTGTGGCGGCCCGCATAAAGACTGAATCGGTTAAATTGTAATTCTGAATATTGGTAGAGATAATCGCAATCGTACTGTAGCATCCCTATTCCTTGAGCAAGGCATCAATCCCTGTCTCCCTTATGAATACAGCTGTTATATGTCATGTAACATTACATTTAGCGGCTTGACTGTTTGTCAGGATTCATGAAAAATTGCGCATGGACTCTCCCTGGATTATAGTAAAGCGTGGCTGCATAATCAGGACCCTCCATTTGATCGACACATGGAGGTAAATGAGCCCAGATGGCCCGTCTGCCCTGCTGTGCATCACAGGAACCGCTGCTGGTTTCTAACCGTGTGTTATTTACAGAACCTACATCACACGTACGACGACTTTCCACTGCTCTGTAATGATCCAAAGCCTGTGTGTGCGGCTGGGCTTTGGTATGGGAACAACAACTGTATTTAATACGAGGCAGACTTCAACTCTGCACTATTTCAGAGCAACGTCGAAGCAGAGAGATTGTTAGACAGAAGTTAAATATTGCAGAACACAGAGGGGCCTGTTCACTGTTTGTGAGGAGAGAGAGAGAGAGAGAGAGAGAGAGAGAGAGAGAGAGAGAGAGAGAGAGAGAGAGAGACACACACTTAAAAGCATTTTTACGGTTGATGGCGTGCATCTGTGTGTTTTGTCTGCGACACAAGATTGAAGAACGGAGGACAGCTGACAGCAGTTTTCTGCTCATTGAAGACATGTATAGGAATCTGCAGTTCTGTGTGTGTGTGTGTGTGTGTGTGTGTGTGTGTGTGTGTGTGTGTGTGTGAGTGAGAAAAAGAGACAGAGTGAGGGGGCATGTTTGAGTTTTTGTGGGAAAGCATCAACAAGGTACCTCCGGCTGAAAAAGAATGAGTCACCAGAGAGACATCATGCCTCTATTTTTATTTTGGTGTGTGTGTGTGTGTGTGTGTGTGTGTGTGTGTGTGTGTGTGTGTGTGTGTGTGTGTGTGTGTGTGTGTGTGTGTGTGTGTGTGTGTGTGTGAATGATGTAACGTGCAAGTAAATGTGTTACTGTTTACACACTGGTGGGTGCAAGGCAAAACATGACGGGGTGTGGCAAAATAAAAGGTCAAGGCACATTTCTGTGAATCAGAACTGCTTGGAAAGTCTGACATGAAGGAAATGATGGTTATTTGGCACAATAGGGACCCTTTAAATTCTTTATGTATATGTAGTTATCAAACCTTTAAATAGTCTTTGATGAGTAAAAACTGGTCCCTTAAAATAAGCCTTAAAACCGCTATAATATTTAGGCTTTAGTCCATAGCACCCTATACATTGACACCCTGAGCTAACAGTTCAATCAATGCAAGCGTTCACTATCCAGTTTGTCCAGCCATGAGTCAGTTGTAGCTTGTAGCTCTAATGTGATCATAAACACAATCCTATCACGGTCAAATAAGACAATATTGCAGGACATCAGTTATTGCTTCCCCTTTTCTCCTAAGACATGAGTGCAATATACTTGTAGTTTAATCTTCCATAGATTTCGTTACAGTTTATATTGAATTCCTTGCTTGAATCCATCACTGATGCCAGAGTAGACAAGGTGTTTGTTTTGAGACTCCTACAGGTTGTACTGTAATCCTAACTCCAGCTGTTATGTAATAATGACAGCTTGTGAGCAGCATGTGTTGTTTTCTGTTTCTCCTCCCGCGGCAGTACAGCGTTCTTGTTAAGACGTAGAAGTGATGTCGCGGCGAATGTCTCGGTTTATAAAACATTTGTGTGTTTACCGGTGCGATGACTCATGGAGCTCTGATAGAAACAGGAGAAACATCTGACTCCACATGGCTGTCCCCCTCTTTCTGCCGCACTCATAAATCTATATCTCTCTTTTCATTATCTTCCTATCTTTCCATCATAAGTCCATTTTTTCTGTGTCCGAATTGCAGGAGTCACTGACTTTCGTTTCATTCCTGTCTCTTCTTTTTATTATTATTTCATTTCCCTTTCTATTGGTCTATGGAAAGTCAGGGGAAAGTGATGTCCTTCCAAAACCCAAGGATATTTATTTAATATGATATACAACTGAAAAGCCTGGAGCCTTTCTATATTTGATACATCTTTTTTATATGTATAGGCTATATCTCTGCAAAAACATTTTGTCTTTTTTTTAAGGAATTACTTTAACAATTAATGATTATCAAAATACTTAAAGCTTAAAACTTATTATGCAAAATGCACTTTCTGATGTCTTTTATACATAAAGATGTGTCGCCGGTGTGTCGGGGAACTCACGCAGCGTCAGAAAATAAAACCCTCTCTCTTTTCCTCCGTACCCAAATCTCTAAAAACGGGGGAACAACGGAGCTGATCCAGATTTGCGTCCGATATGACTCACCTTGGTATTTTGAGCAAAACACTTCATAGACATGTGTTTTATATATTTGTATATATCTGAGACCTATTATTGCCTAAAAATAGCACGATAGGTGCACTTTAAGGTAGTTGATCGTCACAACTCAGTTATCCCCCCTTTTTTTTCTTATAATCTTTTTTTCTTGATCTTTTCCCTAAATCATGTTTTTGATAAAATGTCAGAAGTTGTCCAAAGCAAATTTCCCAGTTTTTACGTCAAAGGTAATGTCAATCCAAAAACTCAAATACGTTTCCTTTTTAATATGAAATATTTCACAGAAAAGCTGAACCTTTCCGTATTTCATAAGTTAAAAAAATGTTTCTG